AAGGAAAGGAAAGGAAAGGAAAGGAAAGGAAAGGAAAGGAAAGGAAAAAACAAAAAAATACTCTGGACTATTTCTGTCATTCATTTAATCAGTTAACTGACCATAGATATGAAAACAAGGGGTCGGGTGTTCTCAAATTGTGTGGCTGTTAACTGAGTCTAAGACATTTCTCTGTGGTGCCCAGAACCTTCTAAATAAAATACAAGACACATGCTGGGTGACTTTTGAAAGAAAAGATGTATATTCAGTGAAAATTAAATATTATTTTTATTTTTGTTTTTTTATGCAGTGACTCACTACATGGCTCAGGCTGACTTGGAACTCACTGTATCTATATGTATAGCAGGCTGGCCTTGACCTTACATGCCTCCCGAGCACTGTGGCCGAAGGCGGGCACCACCAAGGCCAGTCCGCCTTATTTTCTTAAAGAACAAAAGCAAAACTAAAAATAATGCTAGCTGAACAGAGCCGTGTAATAAGCCTAGCCCGCTAATAAACCTCAGGGCTGTTAGGCGGGGTGTTCTGTGGCAACCAATGCAGTCTCTGGTCTACCAAGTCTGAGCAGGGCTGAAGTAGGAAACCGAAGCATAAGGCTTGGAAACAGAGCCACGGGCTGGAGGACAAAACAAGCCATCCGGGAAACACTAGCAACGCCGTCGCTTGAGTCCCTCAAGTCCGATGCCAGAAGCCTCCACCAAGATTTGGTGTTTAAGGCTATTTGTATATACATCTCTAGTCACTGCACATCCATGCCAACAGAGCCGGGTGGCCAGCCTGGTCATGTGTTTTGCTGTGCATTCGCCCTCCTCTTCTCTACCTAGATCCCATTTTCAGACTTGTTTTCATTTTGAAGACACGCTTCCCACGGTGGCGTTTTTAATATGTTGAAATGGTGGTTGCAATGTCCATCCCGTGCACACCTGGAGTATTGATCCACATTTGCCCCAGGGCCCACTGCTGGGTTTCTGTGCTGCTGTGTTTGTGCCCAGAATTCGGAGGGAGGACAAGTTGCATGCTATCAGGAGAGGATGGCCCATTGCTGATTATAAGTTAAGAATCTCAGGTTTCCATCTTCTCTTTCTAGTAACTCGTGTAATTTGTCTTTACTGATTGTCCTTTGTGTGTGTGTATGTGTGCATATATGTACATGTATAGCATGAATGTGTACATGTTTAGACACACATGTATATCATAATTGATATGTACATGTATTGATGCACATATGTAACACGATAGATACATTTCTATGTATGAGACGTTACATTCATTGCTTGTCTTCACGTCTCTGCAAGGAGGGCATTAGGATCTTTGCTTCAGAGGAAATAAAACAGGACCACTGAGAGCCACTAGTTTGCTCAGGGACTTGCTGCTAGGAACTGCTATGGTTGGCATGCCTCTGCCTGCTGCCTTCCTAGAAGCAGAGCTGCTCACAGACCCGAGGCTTCATACTAGGGGTGCATTTCCTCCCTAGAGAGTGGACAGAGACTGTGCTGGCTACTGAGTTCATTCTCAGCCACGATGGGCAGGTGCAAGGACCAAGAAGCTGGAGGTTGGCAGGCAGACATGTTCCTTGCCACCCAGCACTCCATCTTAGTTCTTCCTGCCTCAGGCCCTGGAGATGGTCTTGTTAGACTCTGGACTGACTAGTTCAACACTGGCTTAGACCCAGTGTCGGGGCTTTCTCGAAGAAATGCAAAGATCTACTAGGCCTCCTTGGTATGGGTGGAAATGGCCACAGGCCTCCTGCCTTCCAGGTGGGGTTTGTTTACAGCTCTGAGCAGCCATCGCCAAGCCAGACACCCTTTGTTGCTCTCCCTAACTTCCCTTCGCTTGAGCTTCAGAGCTTGCCACACGGGCCAGTGAGGAGCAGATAAAGGTGGTGAGGAGAGGTTTGACAGTGTCCTGCTTCCACCTCTTGGGAGCCTACAGCCATGAGTCGGGAGCTATTGCCTGCAGCAACTGTCCCTTGAAGTCAGTGAACCTCTCGGGCTGTGAAAACGTTTTGCCCCTATGAGTAAGGGCTGCTGCGGGCTCCCCCCAGGACTACTACCCCACAGTACCCTGTGAGTCATCACACCCGCTGGGCCCTTTCTGAGAAAACGCGCTAGGATCGCACAGAAAAGCCGATTGCTGAGCCCTCAGAACCTCCGAGAGGCAGCCCAGCTTCGCGCAGTTTCCTGGTGGTAACGACCGTGATGATGGTGGTTCCGGCCCTCCCAGCCTTGACACTCCACAGACTGCCACCCCGAGGCGGGTTTTAAATCGGAGGAAGGACCCTCCTTACAGCTACCATGCTTGTTTCTCTGGATTCAGAGACAGATTGTCCTGTTTCTTGTAAACACACTAGGACACCAACCTTGTGAGTGGTCCATCTTGTCACCCCCCAGGGTCTGAACTACGCTACAGCACCCCAAAAGCCAGGCTTCTGAGGGCTGTGGCCAGCACCGGCGCTCACTGTCTTCCGAGCTGCCTATGATCCTAGATGGTGATTTTAACACATACTTTTCCACCTGTTCCTGACATTTCCAGGTGTGTCTCTGGCTGTTTGGTTTAGATAGAGGGCCAGGGACCCATGTGTCACAGGGCAGCTGGTGGCTGTGGCGTGGGGACGGCATTGACAGGATGAGCTTAGACTTAACTGCTCTGGGTCAGGAGGTGGCAAAGCGCCTTGCAAAAGGCCGCAAACATGGATGCTTCCTCCACACCCTCCCCCCCTCTCCCTTGAGTCCTCTTGACTCTATCCCTATAAGGTGTTTCAGGCTATTCCACGGCCACAGGCCATGACCCTCTCCGACTGATCATGGCAATGTCCTTTTGTCGCAAAGGAGGAAAGAATGGGGCTGAGTGGCAAGGCCAACCTGAGAGGGGAAGAAGGAGAGGTGATATCTGGAAGGCAGAACAGAGCGAGCCAGGCCTAGCTGTTGATTCTGATCTCGCCTGTGCGGCCTCCCCTGCCACACCTACATGCCTCGGTTGCTCTTTTGCTTCATTTCTCCTCACCCTTTCCCTCCACTGACTCTCTCTTCTTCCTTTGTCACTGGACAATCTACCACTGTGTTTCCAAATAGCTGGAACCCATGGCTGTCACAGAGCAGACTCCGGCGGCATGGGACCCAACCCCATGCTGCCCCTCTGCCCATTGACGCTGGAAGACAAGCTTTAAAAGAAACACCAGGTCCTCCGCACCTCTCTGCTGCCACTCACACGCACAAAGAGCCTCTAAAGGTGTCCAGCCGAGGGAAGCAGAACCCTTACCTGCTCCTGGGAACTGCACCTGAAGGATGCAGGTGAGAACAGCCGCCTTCCACTTCATCTTCTGCTCCCAGGGCTGGTGCCGGGAGGCAGAAGCAGCTGTGCCTGGGAGGATGGGGAGACAGGGAGGTGCTGAAGGAGTCTCTGCCGGCTTTGCTCTGTGGCTGCCACCTCAGGAAGTGGAGGACGGTGGGCCTTTGAGACAGCACCTGCCAGCAACGCCAAGACACACTCTCACCCTCCCTCTCGCTCATAGGCAGGAAGTTCTGGAGGTTTGGGGGTTTAGGGTGTAAGAATGTATATCCGTCTGAATTTTGCTTTTTCTTCTACCTGACTGTAGTTTTGTGTACTTTTCCTTTTTTTTTTTTTTTTTTCTAGTTCTTGGTTAATTTGTATCTGACTCCTGATGGCTGGTCAGACCCTAGGCATTTTCAAGTTGTGTTCTTCAGAACACTCGGCCCTTAAGGAGGCTAGAAGAGCAGACAGAGATCTCCATCCACAGGTGGGCTAAATCTTCAGACCGCCATGCCACCTCCTTGCTTGCTGTGTGGCCCTGAATGAAGTATTCAGCGTCTCCAGACATGGGGCTTCTTTATCTAAAGGGCAATGAAAGGAGGATATCTGAAGTGTAGTTCTGAACTTGGCCTCGATTCAAACCATAAATAGCATGAAATACTATAGCTCACATCATTTACAAAAGCTTTTTTCCCCCACTAGACAGGATCTCACTATTCAGGCCAGGCTGGTCTTGAACTCACAATTCCCCCACCAGCTTCCCAACTGTCTGGATTATAGGAATGTGCCACCAAACCTAGGTCGAATGCTTTTGCTAACTGTCAACATTTCGCCCTTGGAGTCATTTACAATAAGAAAAAGATTGAAAGTCAGGCATAGTGTGCCTGCCTGTAAATCTCATGGCTGAGGCAGGAGGATTGTGAGTTTGAGGTCCGATGGGACTAGTAGTGAATACTAGACCCATTTGGACTATGTAGCAAGACTGCCTCAGAACAAAATAAAAATTAACATGCAAAATAAACATAATTAAGAGCTGTAAGATGTATGTAAAGCAAACTCTGAGACAAGACTACAAATGTAGAAAGGACAGTATAAATGGAAAGATGTATTTTTTCTCCTTTGGTTAAAAAAACTATTAAGAAGTCCACAGTTACTTCTCAGTTAGCCAACCCACCAAATTAAAAGACAATACTATCAAACCTGGAGGCAGAGAGATGGCTCAGGCACTTTCTGCCAAGCCCAACAGCCTGAATTCCATCCCCACAGCCAACACATCGGACGAGAAAACCCGCTCTTGGAAGAGGTCCTCTGTGCTACACACCAGACATACCACACACACACACACACACACACACACACACACACACACACACATATATATACACATACATATACCACACACACGAGACACACATACAGCACACACACCCACCATGCACACATATACCACACACACAAACATATTCAGCACACGCATGCACACACCACACATACACACACATACACAGACCCACAGACACAGACACCCACAAGCACACACACATACACCACAAATAAACATGTTAACAGATTCTTAAACAAGGTAAGCTGATCCCGGAGCTCACGTGAGACGCTTGACATGTAGGAACAGCTAGACCACAAAAGGCACAAGCAATCAAAACCAAAATACAAAAATTGGACATCGTCAAATTTTAAAAGTTTTACGCGTCAAAAGAAACTAGGAAGGAAAATCTTTAAGTGTTCCACAACATGAATGAAAATAATTGCAAATCAAACACTGGTTTTGGTTAGAACATACAAGCAATGCCACAAGTTAATAGGTCAGAAAAATAAAAGTTAGCCAAAGATTTAAAGCGACATTTTCTCCAAAGAAGATAAACAGTTGGCCAATAAGCACATGAAAGACTTTTAGTGTTGTTTGTCGCTAGGGAAACACAAGTCAAAAACCTCAAAACGATCTACGATGGCGACACGGCACAGGGAATAAAAAGACAAGACTTGAGGGGAGGTGAAGAAGCTGGATGTTGCTACTGAAGGCGTAAAACAGCGAGAGCCCTGTGCAAGGCAGTTTGACAGTTCCTTAGGATGTTAAACAGCGTTACCACATGGCCTAGAAACTCTTCTAAGCATGCACCCCAAAGAACTGAAAACACATGTTCCCACAGAAGCGTTCTTGACAGCATTATGTATAATGGCTCCAGACTGGAAACAATTCGCCACAGCTGAGGAATGGACAAGCAGTCGTGGTGGGTTCAAATAATGGACTGTGACAGCCATGAAAAGACTTGAAGAACTGTTAGATGCTACTGCTTCAAAAGTGGGTAAAAGAAACCCGACCCCACCCCCGCAAAAAAAAAAAAAAATGCCACACCATTGCAAAATAGCCAGAACAGGCAAATCCATAGAGAAAGTGGATTAGCGGTTGCCAGGAACCAGGGAGAGCAGGCGGTTGGACTAGCTGATGATTGGTGTGAGGTTTCTGGGTTTCTGTAGGGGGTGAGGAAAATGTTTTAGAATTAGATAATGGAGTACCAGCAAACTGTAAGTGCTAAAAAAAAAAAAAAAAAGAACAAAACATTGAAGTATACACATTAAAATGGTGAATTTGTGGCACAAAAATCCTGTTTCGATATATAATGATGCTAAAGCAAATAAAATGTGAGGGAAGTGAAACAACAGCCAGACAGCCAGCATCATGAGTGAAGACGATTACTACGCAGCGTCTAGGCGACGTAGGCTCCACTTCCCTGAAGGTTCACAGTCTTGTTTGATCTCACAAGCTAAGCAGGGTCAGGCCTGGCTAGCATCTGGGGAGGAGAGTTACGTATGTATTTAGTCAAGGAGTTTTAAAGGTGAAAGAAAACTCCAGTGGGACAATGACAGACTTTCAAAAAATGGTACTAGATCAACTAGATTGTCTACGAGGAAAATATACAGTCCTTATCTCGTGCTGTGCACAAAAATTAGTTACAACGCTTCACAGATAGAAACATAAAGTCCAAAACAGTAACGCTTCCGGAATGGAGCATGGGTGAATGGTCTCCATAACAGAACGCAAACGCAAAGCTGGACAAAGATAGAACAGTAAATGGGGTTTCACCAAAGCTGCTCACCGAAGATGCCATCGGGAAAGAACAAAAGCAAGCCAGAAAGAAGGAAAAGTATGTGCAAATGCCTATTAGACAGGTGACTTACCTCTAGATATATAAAGAACTCTTCCAACTCGATAGTAAGATAACCACCTCGCTAAGGAAATGGGCAGTAGGTTTAAATACAGTTCCTAAAGAAATGTACGTGAATGCCCAGTAAATACATAAAAGAGATATTGGACATTGGGGGCTGAAGAGATGGCTCAGACTGGGTTAAGAGCACTGGCTGCTCTTCCAGAGGTCCTGAGTTCAATTCCCAGCAACCACATGGTGGCTCATAATCATCTCTAATGGGATCTGGTGCCCTCTTCTGGAATGCAAGCAGAATATTGTATATATAATAAATAAACAAATCTTTTAAAAAAATATATTGGACATTAATGAATAAGACAAACCAAAACTACAGTGAGGTGTTGCTATGTACTGTCTAGAATATGGAGAAATTAAAGTTCTCAGGATCCACCTGCCTCTTGCCGTGTCTGGCTCTAGAATCTATTTGTTTGTGTATTTGTTTATTTATTTTTGGACAGTAGCCCAGCTGGCCTATAACTTACTATGTAGCTGAAGATGACCTTTAGTTTCTGACCCTCCTGTCTCTACTTCCCGAATTCAGGGGTGTGCCACCATGCTTACTTTATGGGGGTTGGGGGGGAGAGTCCGGGTCAAGCCCACGGCTTCCTACACATTAGACAGCACACCACTGAGTCACATGCCAGCCCCCATCTTTTTATAATTTTGATGAGGTTGTCAGGTAAGGCAACCCAGCTGTTTTTTCCCTACAATGTTTTGAAGATATATTTCTTTAATTATATGTATATATGGTGGTGGGGTATGTGTTTCAAGGTACCTGAAGAGGCCAGAGGAATTGAGTCCCTGTAGAGCTAGGGGTGCAGGAGGTGGTCATGAGCTGCTTCATATGGATGCTGGGAACTGACCTCAAATCCTGTGGAATAGCAATAGATTCCCCTAATGGCTAAGCATCTTGTCCACCCCTGTTTACTTGGCGCTTAAGAGTGGCTGTGGACAGTGGCGCAGGCCTGAAATCTCAGCACCTGGGTTACAATGTCATGATCATCTTCAGCTACACAGTAAGTCTGAGACCAGCCCAGGGTACAAGACTGCCTCAAAAAGCCAAACCAAACAAAAATAAACAAGGCCTGGCGATGTCTCTATGTCATTTGTCCTGCTTGGATTCATGCCAAGGAGCCGCCTGTGTTCTCTAACGACTGTTCCAAAAAACCCACTTTTTTGTTTATTCTCCAAATTCAATTTCTGCTGCTGGCAGCCCAAATTATTCTAATTTATGTATTGGGAATTTTTGGACATCGGATCAGCTTTCTATTGCCATGTAATGAATTATCACAAACCTCGTGCCCTGAACCAGTACAGACTAATGACCTTACAGTGTTAAAGGGCAGAAGTCCAGGCACAGCACGCTGGCCTCGGCTTAGGTACTTTCCATGATAAAGTTGAAGAGTTGGCTTGGCTGTGGTTTGGATCTGAAACTCCGGCTGCTATTCCTAACTCACTGGTGGCTGGAAATTTCTCTTATACTTACAAGAACGGGGCCCCTGTTTTCTTGAGAATCACTGGCCAGATACTGCTGTCAGCCCCCAGGGAACACCCACAGCTCCTTGCAATGTAACCTCCTAGCGGTTTTCCCCAAGCCAACCACAGCACTCTTTGCTTTCCTCTTCCACAGCTAGCTGGAGGAAAGTCTGAATGGAAAGGGCTTGTCTGATTAGGTCAGACCGCTCATGATAACCTCTCCTTTTACCGTGGGCCCCAAGAGAAGCACAGGAGAGCTAGTTCTTCTGGGCACAGGTTTTCTGCCCTCAAGGAAGTTACCCTGGTGTACGCACCACAGTGTGGACAGCCTGGAGGCTGCCTAAGCATC